CCTGATAGGCTACATACAGTCCATGGGGTCGCGAAGAATCGGACACGACTGAGCGACTTCACTTTCACTTTTCACTTTGATGCACTGGAGAAGGAAACGGCAGCCCGCTCCAGTGTTCTTGCCTGGAGAATCCCAGGGACGGGAGACTGGTGGGCTGCCATATATGGGGTCACACAGAGTTGGACACGACTGACGTGACTTAGCAGTAGCAGTAGCAGTATTAATTAACTTGAAACCTAGTTATCCAGTAGAATTTAAAATCTGAAAAAAAAAAAAATAAATAAAATAAATACAATCTGGCAAACCATGGACACCAGTCCTCAGGTTAGAAATTTAATGATAAACTGTGCTCGGTCGCTAAGTCATATCCAGCCCTTTTCGATCCCATGGTGTGTGGCCCGCCAGGCTCCTCTGTCCATGGAATTTCCCAGATAAGAATGCTGGAATGGGTTGCCATTTCCTTCTCCGGGGATCTTCCTGACACAGGGGTCGAACCCACGTCTCCTGCTTCGCAGGCAGATTCTTTACCATTGAGCCACCAGGGAAGCCCAATTATAAAATACCTGGCATCTAGAAGGCACTCAGGATGTCTGTAGATGCAGTGAATGAGGCAAAGGAAAACCTCCCTGTTGGGCAAAGGGTAACAAGGCCTGAGATGCAGCCAAAGAATGCTGTATAAGAAAATACCTAAGAATCTTCAGATTCACATTCCATTGTCAGCTACGAGTGACATCAACTTCCACAGAAGGCAAAAAAAAAAAAGACAAGAGTCCAGTAAAGCTATTCATACCCTTTATGATGGGGTTACAGGGCATTTAGCCCAGAGTGAGGAGATGAGCTGCCCTCAAGATGGGAAGGCAATAAGAGGCTTGTTATTATAAGACTTTCTTACTCTGTCTTTAGCGCCAAGAAAGGGGAGCAGTAAGGATGAGAAATAAGGCTTCATATCGAGCACAAATGTCCTCCTCTCCAAAGCCCCGAGGCTTCCTTAAAGAAAACTAATCAATAGTTAAGAGTCCAGTCAATCACAAGCTCTGAAACTGATGAAAACGCAACACCATCATTCCCCTCAGTAAAGAAAATGAAGCTTGGGACTTCCCTGGTGGTCCAGAGGCTAAGACTCTGCACTCCCAATCAAGGGGTCCCAAGTTCAATCCTTGGTCAGGGAACTAGATCCCACATGCCTCAACTAAAGATCCCACATGCCCCAGTGAAGATGGAAGATCCTGAGCACTGCAAATGAGACCTGGCACAGCTAAATAAATAATTTTTTTAAAAAAAGGATGGAGCTTACTGTAGTTATTTCAGGGACAACAAATACCTGTACTGCTCCCGGTCCACACAGTGGGAGACTTGCATTGGTCTTCAGGGCAATACCTACAATGCCGTATGCATTCAGTCAACCTTGGTCAAGACACTGCTGGCCAAGAGGCAACAGTTCCAGGCTCAGTCCACAGCTTCAGTGTCCTTGAGCTCACATCTATTCATACTACATCAAACAGTTGTTATGAGAATCAGTATTCATCAGAGCATGGTAAGTCAATTTCAAACTACAAAAATCCACAAAACACATCAAAATAAGTATAGTGCATACAACTATTCCACAGTCTAAGAAGAAGAAGTCCATGTATATATATATAAATTTACAGAGTGATAATGCTGGTAAATGTGAAGTATTTTTTTTTAATATTCATTTGGCTGAACCAGGTCTTAGTTATGGCAGGTGGTATCTAGTTCCCTGACCAGGGATCAAACCTGGGGCCCCTGCATTGGGAGCACAGAGTCTTGGCCACTGGACCATCAGGGAAGCCCTGTGAAGTACTTTAATACGTGATCGACAGGTCCTCTCCTATTACTGAGGTTGTTTTACAGAAACAGCAGTGTCTACAGTCAGTTTTGTCAAGTACACAGTCACTCCCCCCATCCCCCCACCCAGAGAGACCCTTGAGATGGGAAAATGAGGAGGCAGGATACCATAGAGGCTATTTTATAGAAAAAATATGTCAAGTATCATACGAAGTGAAGTAAGTTAAAAACAAGTATTATATGATATCACTTATATGTGGGATATAAAAAATAACATAAATAAGTCTATAAACAAAACAGAAATAGACCCACAGACATAGAAAACAAACGTATGGTTACAGAAGGGGCAAGAAGGGGAGAGATAAATTAGGAATATGGGACTAACAGATACAAACCACTATACGTAAACTAGATTAACAACAAGAACGTAGCATACAGCACAGGGAACTCCATTCAGTACCTTGTAATAACCTATAATGGTAAAGAATCTGAAAAAGATTTTACATATATATGTGTGTGTCTGTGTGTGTGTGCACACGTGCACGCGCATGTGTTTGTGTGTGTATCTGAATCACTTTCAGCTGAATACCTGAAGCTAACACAGTATCATAAATCAAGTTTGTATGTATAAGTGTTGAGTGGCTCAGTCGTGTCCGACTCTGCGACCCCAAGGACCACAGCCCTCCAGGCTCCTCTGTCCATGGGATTCTCCAGGCAAGAACAGTGGTGTGGGTTTTCATGCCCTCTTCCAGGGGATCTTCTGACCCAGGGTCAAACCTGCATCTCTTGCATCTCCTGCATTGGCAGGCAGATTCTTTGCCACTGCGCCACCTGGGAGGCCCATGTAAATTAATTATAGATAAATTTAAGACAAGGAAAAAATACGCTACAACAAAAACTCACATCAGATGTGTCATCTATACAAAAGGAACAGATACTGATGTTCTTTTTTAATGAATAAAAATATTGAGAAAAAGAATGCTTGCAAGAGCCCTTAAGAGCATATCCATTCATTCTGTCCTTCAACCTTCTAGCAGGAAAAGAACTAAAGCTATGTTCACAGATTTAACAAGCAAAAAAAAAAAAGAGGCAAATCCATAGAGACAGAAAACAGAGGTTAAAAGTCTATGTTAAAAAATTTACCACCTTGAGCATTTCTAAGTGTACAGTCCAGTGGCATCAAGTACATTCACATTGCTGTGTAACCCTTGCTACAATCCGTCTCCAGAACTCTTCATCTTGTAACCTTTTCTTTTAATATTTATTTTATTTATTAGTCTTCCCTGGTGGCTAAGATGGTAAAGAATCTGCCCATAATGCAGGAGACCTGGGTTCAATCCCTGGGTTGAGAAGTTCCCCTGGAGAAGGGAATGGTTACCCACTCCAGTATTTTTGCCTGAAGAATTCCATGGACAGAGGAGCCTGGTGGGCTACAGTCCCTGAGGTTGCAAAGATTTTTTAATTTATTACTTATTTATTTGGCTGTGCTGGGATAATTAGTTTGGGGATCTTCGATCTTCATTGTGGCATGTGAACTTTTAGTTGCAGTGTGTGGGATCTAGTTCCCTGACCAGGGATGGACCTGGGGCTCCCTGCATTGGAAGCTTGGAGTCTTACCACCGGATTGCCAGGGAGGTTCCTCATCTTGTAAAACTGAAACTCTGTGCCCACTAAACACTACCTTCTCATTCTCCCTCCCCACACCTCTACTAACTAACCATCATTCTACTTTCTGTCTCTACATATCTGACTTACTCCACGTACCTCATTATGTTACATATATTTTACCACAATAAAAAAAATTTAAGGAAAAAATAAGAAAATTTTCCCTCCTTTCCATCAGTTGCCCAGTCCTGGCCAGGCCACTGTTTTGTCTTACGCAGATAACAGCAGGAACTCCATGACTAGTCTGCATCCCTGTCATGAATCTGACCTGGGACCCACTCACCTCTCCGCTTCCATTCTGGAACTGTCAAGGATTTTCAAATTAATTTCCGCACAATCAAATGGGCAGGTGGCTCAGTGGTAAAGAATCTGCCGGCCAATGCAGGGGACACAGGAGACATGGGGTCAATTCTTGGGTCAGGAAGATCTCTAGTAGGAGGAAATGGCAACCCACTCCAGTATTCTTGCCTGGAAATTTTCATGGATAAAGAAACCTGGAGGGTTGCAGGGTCTCATGGGGTTGCAAAGAGCTGGACACGACTGAGTGAGTGCACACATACCATCAAATACAAAATCCTTAGACTGCTTCAAGGCTAACAGAGGGTAAACCACCAGCCTCCCAACTTGCTAAGATGCTGCTCCTCAGAATGACACAGAGACAAGAAGGTCACACGGAGGTCACACAGCAAAGTCTAAGAGACCTTTCTGCTAAATGCAACCTTTTTTTTTTTTTGAGGTAAACATAATAAACCATTTATTAAAACATCATGTGGTAAAATTAACTTTGTGACCCAATGTGACAATGGTAAACATTTTCCCCTTGTTAACATTCCACCTAAAACACAGTTAAATTATAACACAATACAACCAGAAGCTGAAAAAACTTCTGTCCTTTATCACTCACTAGGTGAGTGCAGATCTAGGTTTTCTCGATGAGTCAGAGAGAGGATTATAAAGACACCTGAAATCCCATACACCCAAAGGTTAAATTTTATTTACCCTATTCGCTGGTCCAAACTTAAAATTATATCAAATAAAATTTAATTAATTATCCTCCCCCCTGCCAAAAATAAATATTAGGAACACATTAAGGATAAGAACTGGGTTTTAAACTGTACTTTATTTGTTACTATAACATTGTCTTTTTAAAAAACTGATCAACCATAAGCATGCAAAAAATTCTCTTCTGAACGGAACCGCTTCAATAACTCCTTGGATATCGGTAAGTAAATTATGAAGGTTGTTTAATGTATAGTCCTCTCCTTTATAGCACTTCTAAGCAGTGTGTGAGACACATACCAGAGGTAGGAAAGACCATCCTTAATAAATTATCTTAATTGTAGAGAATTACTGAAAATAAAACTGAAAAAGGCTAAACCATGCCTTTGATGAGTCCCAAAAGACCACAGATCCATCTCCTATTCGAAGAATTAGTCCCCTGGAGAGTTCTAGCCTCTGTAGAGCAATTGATAACAAGATATACCAAGGCTCCGAACAACTGACTGCATGAAGAACCCCTTCGTTTGCTCTCACTTCCCGATTCTCGGGACCACCCAGTCCTGCTGGCAGAGAGGGCAGCGATTGTTCTGTTTCACCCACAAGGACATGCAGCAGTTGTGGAAGGAATGATTACATTCTCCCCAGACAACAACACAATCCTCTTGTTTGTTTTCAGCTTGACATCTAAGACAGGCATCCGTCACCTGGACCCTGCAGATGGCGCACGTATTGCACTCCACGTCCCAGCTCCACATGGCCACAGCGTGCCACTTCTTGAGAGAGAACATTTTGTCGCCGCCCGACTTGGATCCTGAGCTCCCCGAGTGAGACGACAGGGCGCAGGGTTCCTCACCGTCTTCCACGTCGGCCACAGCGGCGGCGCGGAGCCGGCGGCGGAGGCGTTGGGTCGTGGGAGGCGGGCGACTATGGCGGCTCCGTGGGGCCGCCCGACGGGCCACAGCGCCGCCCTAAATGCAACCTTTGATTGTAAAACATACTGGTGACAGTATCCGCTCGGCTCTCGGCACTGTGGAGAGCCAAAAAGTAAACACCTGTATCCCCATTCTGATCAGAGAGTTACGTGGAAGTCTGACTAGTTTTGGCAAGCTAGTTTGATCTAAGCTGGTCTAAACCAAAGTTGGGCCTCACTGCCCGGCCCCGGCCCCATTCAAGGACAGTATCTACCATTACTGATGCACCCACTGCATCTTGGGCACTGAGCGTCCTCTCAGGCCGCACCCCCAACAGTAAGAGCTGGAAGAAAGGGCTCCCCACGCACCCCAGCTGACAGTGACTGTGCCTCCCCGCTCCCTAGGAGGGCTGGGCCCAGCAATCAGGAGGCAGACAGCCTTCTCACTGCACTGTGGGCAGCTTCCTAGACTGGTTCTGCAGCTGGAAAACAGTCTTCATTCTGTCAGAGGAAAGCCGCATAGGCCCCCAGAAACTGTTCTGGAAGACAGTGCAGTTTGGTTCTCCATCAGAAATCTGACATCTGCCTCAATGAGGGGGGTAAGGACAGTTCAGTCACCTGCCTGCTGACCATCTCCTCCTTCACAGAGGGGGGAGAATTTGTACATCCTAGAAGAGACTGTGCAGCTTTTAAAGGAAAGAGAGCATTGATCTGAGGACTCTGGCGGGGGGAGGGGGGGGGGACGAAAAACACTGTTGCCAAAATTTAAGAGCAAAATAGCTGAAGGATCTGGGGCTTCCCTGGTGGCTCAGTGGTTAGGAATCTGCCTGCCAATGCACGAGACAAAGGTTCGATCCCTGGCCCAGGAAGATCTCACATGGAGGGGAGCAGCAGAGCAAATAAGCCCGTGCACCACAACTACTGCGGAGGGAGAGCCGGGGAACTACTGAGACCATGTAGCTCAACTACTGAAGCCTTTGTGCCCCAGAAGCCGTGCTCCACAACAACAGAAGCCCCTGCAGTGAGAAGCCTGCTCACGGAAACTAGAGAAGAGTCCCGGCTTGCTGCAACTAGAGAAAAGGCCACACAGCAACGAAGACCCGGCACGGTCATAAATCAATGAATGAATAAAATTACTAAAAAAAAATCTGGAGTAATGAACCAGGAGTCAGGGAGTTGTGCAGAGAGAAAGTCCCAGAGATTTGGCAAAAGGTCCTCTGGAGACCTTGGCAAAGTGCTGATTTCTGCCTGAGTCTAGGGGAAAACCACCAGAAAAGAGTAGGTGAATAAACCTAAAAAGTCAGAAGTACTGATACATGTAATGTGCTAAGTCCCTTCAGTTGTGTCTGACTCTGCAACCCCATGGACTGTAGCCCACCAGGCTCCTCTGTCCATGGGATTTTCTAGGCAAGAATACTGGAGTGGGTTGCCATTTGCTTCTCCAGGGGATCTTCCAGGCCCAGGGATCAAACCCACATCTCTTACATCTCCTGTGTTAGCAGGCAGGTTCTTTACCTCAAGTGCCACCTGGGAAGCCACAAATGATCTATGGGTGGGCCTCAAAATCATTATGGTTAGTGAAAGAAGCCAGGCAGGAAAGACTGGATATTATATGATTCCACTACATGAAGTGTCCAGAAAGAGCAAAGCTACAGATACAGAAAGCAGATGAAGGGGTGCCTGGGGCTAGAGGTGGGGAGGAGGGCTGACTGCAAACAGCCGTGAGTTACTGGGACGTCCCTGGTGGTCCAGTGGTTGAGAATCCCCCCACCAACGCAGGGAACACAAGTTTGGTCCCTGGTTGAAGAAGATCCCATATGCCACGGCCCTCATGCCACAACTACTGAGGCTGGGTAGCCTGGAGTCCTCGTGCCACAATGAGAGAGCCCATGCACCCCAACGAAAAGATCCCACATGACGCAGTGACGATCCCATGTGCCACAACTAAGACCCAGTGCAGCCAAATAAATAAACAAATAAATATTAAAAACAAAAAACAGCCATGAGGTATAAAACGGCATAATAGAAACGTGTTAAAATGAATTGTGATGATGGTTGCACAACTCAGTACATTTACTAAAAATCACTGAATTGTCCACCTAACCATGGATGAATTTTATGATACTTAAATGTATAATTCAGTAAAGCTGTTCAAGATTCCCAGGTGGTACAGTGGTAAAGAATTCACCTGCCAATGCAGGAGATATGGGTTGTGAAGATCCCCTGGAAGAAAAAATGACAATCCACTTTGGTATTCTTGCCTGGGAAATCTCAGGGACAGAGGAGCCTGGCGGGCTACAGTCCATGGGGTCACAAAGAGTCAGACACGACTGAGCGACTAAGCACACTCACTCTCACACACACACAAAGCTGTTAAAAGCAAAATAAAACAAAACCACATCCGAGACCAGAAGAACAAAATAAATGGACAAAAAGCCTTATCTAAAAGTGAAGACAAACTGAAAGACTACTCCAAGTAAACTACAAAGGTAAATTAAAATAAAATAATTATTAATTAACAAACTAGAAAAGAACACGATTAATATAAAAATTTTAGGAGCTATTAAAGAATTGATAAAAAGAGCTTTCATTAAAAATTTATTAAAAAAAAAAGAAAATAGAAATTCCAAAGGAGATGTATAAAAATAAACTGAGGTTTATTGAAATTTTTGAGCTTGAGCAAAAATGGATTCAAACCAGGCAGCATCTAATTTAACAGATGGAAAGGAGCTCTGAGGTGCTACACAGAATGGAAGACTTTTTTTTTTAAATGAAGAACGATTGAATTACAATAGTTTCAGATGTACAACACAGTCATTCAATATTTGTATACCCTATAAAACGGTCACCAAGCTAAGTCCAGCTACTATCTGTTACCCATACATTTGCAATATTATTACAATATTATTGACAATATTCTCCATTCTATACATTACATACCTGTGAGTTGCTTATTTTATAACTGGAAGCTTGTGCTTCTTAACTTCCCTTACTTACTTCACGCATCCCTCAACCTTTCCCTTGGCAATCACCAGTTTCTTTTCTGTATCTATGAATATTCTTCTGTTTTATTCTCTTTGTTCATTTGCTTTGATGTTTAGATTCTACCTATAAGCGAAGTTATGCAGTATTTGTCTTTATCTGACTTACTTCACTTTGCACAATGCCCTCTAGGTCCATCCATGTTGTTTCAAATAGCAAGATTCCATTCATTATTATGGCAGAGCAATAAAATGAAAGATTTTTGTAGCCAGAGGGGAGGAGGAATAGGGAAACTGTACTAGGCAAAAAAGTGGGTTGGTAATTGTAAAGTCACTTTCCTTTAGGGGATTACAGTGGTCTATCAGGCAGATTGCCTGACAGTGTTGATCAGGTCATTTCAGATTGACTGGTTTAAGATTCCTGGAGTTCCCTGGTGGTCCAATGGTCAGAACTCTGCCCTTGCACTGTGGAGGGCCTGGGGTTCAATCCCTGGTCAGGGAACAAAGATCCCACAAGCCACGCAGTGCAGCTAAAAAAACAAAAAATGTCGATTCCATTTCTGGGAAAGGATGAAATTGTAATTAAGACTTTTGGGTATTTATGAGGTATAGCATAACTGACTCCATTTTGGCCCTGTTGCATTGTATTTTAACAGAGGTATAAAAATGAAGATGTAGGATTTGTTTTTAACTTAAAAGAAAACAGAGGAAATACTCCTAAATGTTAAGAGTGATAGTCTCTCTTTAAATTAATTATAAGTGGTTTTTATTTTCTCTTTTCTTTTCTAAATTTCCTATACAACACAACTTTGATTATAAAATTCAGTTATATGTGAGCATGTTTATAAGTAATGAATTTGAAAACTTAAGTGAAATTGGTGAACTTGCAGAAAATATAAATTACCCAGGACTTTACAGGTGGTCCAATGGTTAAGACTCCAAGCTTCCACTGAAGGGGGATTGCGTTTGATCCCTGCTTGGGGAAATTTCTCAAGCTGTGGCATGCGGCTCCTCCTGGAAAAATTACCCAGATTGCTTTAAGAAGAAACAATATGCAGCAAGGACCTAGCATATAGGACAGGGAATGAATTACATTCACTATTTCATAATAACCTATAAAGGAAAAAAATCTGAAAAAGGATATATATACACACACATATACAAAACTTAATCACTTTGTCATACACTTGAAACTAACACAACACTGTAAATCAACTATACTTCAATTTAAAGAAAATAAACAGGCATTTCCTGGTGGTCCAGCGGTTAGGACTCAGGACTTTCACTGCCAGGGCGGTTCTATCCCTGGTGGAAGAACTAAGAACCCACCACCTACCAGGTGTGGCCCCGCTCACCACTATCCCCCGCCAAAAAAACTAAAAAAAGTAGGGGCAAAGAATTTGAACAGACATTTTTCCAAAGATATACAAATGGCTAAGGGACAAATGAAAAGGTCTTCACTGTTATTAATCATTCAGTTCAGTCTCTCAGTCGTGTCCGATTCTTTGCGACCCCATGAATCATAGCACGCCAGGCCTCCCTGTCCATCACAAACTCCCGGAGTTTACTCAAACTCATGTCCATTGAGTCAGTGATGCCATCCAGCCATCTCATCCTCTGTCGTCCCCTTCTCCTCCTGCCCCCAATCCCTCCCAGCATCAGGGTCTTTTCCAATGAGTCAACTCTTCGCATGAGGTGGCCAAAGTATTGAGTTTCAGTTTCAGCATCAGTCCTTCCAATGAACACCAGGACTGACCTCCTTTAGGATGGAATGGTTGGATCTTCTTGCAGTCCAAGGGACTCTCAAGAGTCTTCTCCAACAACACAGTTCAAAAGCATCAATTCTTCAGCACTCAGCTTTCTTTATAGTCCAACTCTCACATCCATACATGACCAC